GTTTCTCAAACTTACCTACCCCACCTTTAACGTACAAATGTGCAATAAAAATGTAAACAAAAATAATGCATATATTTATATAAACATACAAAAACAAAGTTACAATTCCAATAAAAGGTAAAACAAAGTAAAATAGTATAAAATATTCTTTTTTAAACAAAGTTGCTTAACTTTGGCACTCTAAGCACAGTCAGAATGAGAAATACTTTTATAGTCCCAGGGGGAATTTGCTTTTCTTGACAGTTTTTGCATTTTAGAATGAATAAAAAGGAGCATAAATAAAATAGTAAATAATTAAATATGGTGCATCGGTAAAGAAAAAATTATCCTGGAAGAAAACATCAGTGCTTTCAGTATTTTGTACATAGTGTAGTGTTGCCCCCTTTTGGCCAAAATGAGTATTACACAGACACACATTATCTTTTACTTTCCCGCTTTTTGCCTCTCAGGGCTTCGGTAACAATTTATATTCAGAACAATCATGACACTTTTGAGGAAGTTTTAAAACATCACAAACCCAAACTACATTTATTCTTAATTAAGTCCCGTCTTTGTTTAAGTATGATTAGCATGCTACAGTAGTTACATCTATGTTGTGTGTGTGTGTGTGTGTGTGTGTGTGTGTGTGTGTGTGTGTGTGTGTGTGTGTGTGTGTGTGTGTGTGTGTGTGTGTGTGTGTGTGTGTGTGTGTAGATTGTGAGCAAACTAAAGGAAGAGATCGGAGCCATGGAGAAAGAACACGGTGAGCTGCAGCAGCACATCTCCAGGACGGACTGGTGGTGTGAAAACCTGGGCCACTGGAGGGCTACCATCACTACTGCTGAGGTAAACAAATATTAGTTTTCTTGCATCCTCACAAACATTAAATGGCTAGTTCCACTAGTGGAAGTAACAAGCTAACTAATATGCATATCCTAGTACTAGACTCCTGGTACTAGGATGGGTTAAATGCAGAGGCCAAATGTCACTGTGTGCTGTGTGCTCTGCATGTGTGACCATTAAAGAGGGGTGTCTTCCCTCCGATTCTATCTATAACTGTGCCTTCAGTCCACTGGAGCAACTATGGACAGGGGAATACAGTATATTCTTGTACAAGGATTCAATTGTTTTGTCATGCTGTTTTTGTGTAGTCATTTAGGCATTTGTTTGTTTCAGGCTGCAGCAGAAGAGGGTGGAGAGACAGTGGCTTCCTACAGTGTGTGTGTCAGCCTGGTGGAAATAGAGGAGATGGCTAACAGTCGCTGGAACGTTCAGAGGAAACTCACTGAGTTCCAGATGTTACACCGCAAACTCACCGAGGTAAGACAACACTAAGGGGCCGTACCCATAAGCGTTTAATGAACGGGCATCTTCATTGTTTTTGACGAGACACATTCAAGGAGCGCTCAAACTGCAGAGACACACTGTTGGGATTGCCATACACTCATGAATATGAGTCTATGGCAAATATGATATATATATATATACAGGGGTGCACATAACTTTCTTAGTGAGTTACTCAAATGAGTACCAGGAGATAATGTTTGGTACTCAGGGCTGTCCACGCAAAGTTCTGTGTGTGGTGGGTGTGGTGGGTGTTGTTTTGAACGTCAACGGGAGGGGTGGAGGTGGGCGCTAGTGGAGCACACGCGTGGAACTCGCGCCGGAAGTTGTGGCACAATTCCGTTGTACACACCGATGTTAACAGCAGCCCCGTCTGT